TAAGACGTCAAACCTCATAACTGCTACGATTAGATCAGTATACAAAACATTGTACAGGTGTTAAGGTCCAGGTCTATACTCAGTGTATTGTCTCCGATGGGTTAACGCAACAATCCGGAGTTCGATTCCTCGCTGTGGACAGAGCGCAGATAGTCCAATGTGTAGCTTTGCGCTAAGCCTAACAAGCAAATTTATAAACTAATAAGATGATTTAATCAGAAAGTAATACACCAATCTTTAAGAAATCCATACTATACTAAAATATGTCATGAACGATTAATTTTAACACACATCATCAGTTCAAGCAAGCGTTATAACTAGGAACCGTTTTCTTTCTTTGAAATCCGCTCACAAATCCCAGTAGAAACCTTTTTTTTTTTGCGGAAGTTTATTTGAGCATCCTTTCGTATAAGGCAATCTATACAAATTACGTGCGCTGTCCCTTCATTTACGTATGTTTAGATAGAAATAAGTGCCAATGTTTTCCTGTTTTGTTAGTTTTAATCTGACCTTGAGTAGTTAATTGCCTCTTCTAATTATAATGTGTAACAATTTATGCTACATTACGTCTCTACCACTACTGTATAGTCTGTTCGAAGCATGTTTTATTTCATCTGGTTTCCAATAAAAGGCTAAGATATACGAGTATAATGGAATGGACCGCAACCGCCTTGTTTGTGAAAAAAACAATAGGCAATTGCCTTCCATTCCAGTCTACTCATCATGAATACTCTGCCTAAACAAGCTGTCAAAGAATAGATAAGATGTAGGTTCATTATTACTTGGATCTTTCGATGACTTTTTTTTGTGTGTGTCACAGTATTACCGAGATAACCATACATATATTCAACTACGAACTGCTCTTCAGCATCACCCCTTCCTCCCATACGTTAATGTCATGATTAATTATTTGTAAAATTAAAGGAAGGAGTGACTGCTAAATACTAAAATTTGTTGAATATTCCGTTAACCTTTTTTCTTCGATTTTAAGTTTCATATTTTATAATGGGCCTCAAAAAATCGTTAGCTTTTATGGTGTACAATACATTAAGAATGAAAAGGTTAAGTACAGTGTAGTGTGTCGTTCACCTGTGTTTCATAATTATGTTTTAATCCATTTTTTCTATTCGGGTTGTCTATAGAAAAAAGTTAGTGTTTCACATCTATTCCATCTCTCGTACACACGCTATTGTCTTTGAATCAATAAGTTTTTTTAATAATAATAATAAAATTGTTGTGTCAGTGTGTTCCATAACAAACTTAAGACTTTAGTATATATATAATGTTTTTTATTTATTTTAAACTGGAAATCTAGACACAGATTTAAAATTGTCGGAAACTATCGAATGAGATTCATGAAAATATGTTGAGAACGGCATTTAGTGAGAAGATCTATGATTTACGCACTGCACACAAGTAAATGGAAATAAATAAATGGTATAATATCTCGATTTTCTCTCAAAGTTCGGGCATACCTTGGAGTGGGTTTATTATTTCGTTGTGATATAAGTACAGGTAAAGTATGAGAAGAGTAGACGTAAGTAAGGTGGTGTTGGCTGAGCAGACGATCAATAAAAACCCAGGACATAACTAGGCTAGCTGATAGATATATTGTTGGGTGTTACCGTGTGCAATACAGCAATTAATCTACACCCAGAAAATTGTAGCGTTTGGCGTGTATATTGCTAGGTTTAAAAGAAAATATTGGCCCATATTTAATCATAAAAATTAAGTATATCTTAGTGGTCCATAAATGTTTTATTTTAGTGTTTTAAGTAATTGCTTCTGTTTGGTTGATTTTCATAATGGTGCTGAAGCGCTATATTTTAGGTTTTATTGTGGCTTTTATTATCATTATATATAACGAACTATCAGATTTTGATATAAATTACTTGCTACTATAGGTGCTATAAACACAAACTTGTGATACTTTTCTTTCCGATCTTGTTAGAAAATTAAAAAAATAGCTCGTGTGACTACTATGTTTAACATAAATATCTGCCAGTCATAACAATTATTTATCTCGTTTTTCAATGGAATGTTTTCAGAATATCCATGTAAAAAAAAAAGCTTAGCATGTATATCGCAACTCACTTGTAATCTTCTTCGAAAGGGGGCTGTTTGAATTTTAGATGCAGTTTTCAATGATTGTCAAGAAAATAACCTGATAATGTAGCAATTATTAATCATTATTGAAAAGTTAAACATATGAAGCTTACAGCAGTATCTTAGTACAATGGCTGAGTATTATGGGAGCAAATGTTTATTAAAACAGCAGGTAAACTTTTGCATGTTATATGATTATTACTCATTTCGATTTTGCTGAAATAAAATTCCAACTAAAGTCAAATTAAACCAACTTTTGCAGCGATATTACAGTCTTGATTCGACGTGGTATAGACCTCACAAAATGTTCGATTTTATCCCATTCGTCAACCAAGTACAAGTACATGCTGACTGTTATTCAATCGTCTAAGTGGGTCAAAAGATCCACCCATCTGCCACAAAAATGTTTCAACGCCATCTCCAAGGTCCAGGAGTTTGTTGGAGTAAGAGCAGCTCGCGTTTACTCCATTATTTCACTCTCGTCGGTAGGGAAGTAGGTTAAATGTAATTTATCAGGCGTCATTACTCGCTTTCACTCATTCAGTATCCATACTCGCTTCCACTCAGGCAGTATTTATAACTTGTGCTCTAAACTCCAGTAAAAAAAACAACAAAAATAAACGTGTTGTTAGCATTTAAGATAAGCTGTATTTTGAATTGATTGTCAGCTGCCATATGTCCCTCATATAGTACGGTCGTATAGTGTTGAAGAAATCGGTCAGTTGAGACTCGATACAACATGCTTTACATGCTAGTGTATTCGTCTTTCTTAATACCGGCCACAGTTTTCTCTTTCAACTTCTACTCTTGATAGCCTCTGAGGGCAGAAAAGTATTTGAACAGACGGTCCAATGAGTATTAGTATTGTCAGTGCTCCTGTTATGGGTACTTTATATCGTATACCATTGTTTGGCAGCCATAACATAACTAAGTCTGCTTTTATAGCGTTCAAACAATTAAATATCAATATTTTTGCAAATACACAGAATGTTCTACAAATGTGTGTGCGTGAGAGAGGGGTAATTCTAATAACGTGGGCATTCCATAATTTCGAAAGTTGATACTAATAATGCTGTCATTTATTATATGTATAATGTGTAGCTCTAACTACGTAGCTTTTAGGTCCTTTGTACAAACATCCGATGTAAAGGAGAATCCTGATACAGTTGATCTTGTCTGTTTTCTCAAGTTTCAATGGAGTAAAACAGATAGATAATTGGGCTTCTCAATATTTATTTTTTCTTTCCCAAAATCAAAAACAACAAAAGATCCATACAGGCTTCTATAAACGGGTTTTTATTTTTATCCAAGATAAATACTGTTTTATTCTGTTGTTGTTGTTGTTTGTTTATAATCCTAGACATAGAATTGTCTTGACTTACCAGATCATATATATACATATTTAAACTGCTACATTAATTAATCATTTTTATATGTGAGCAACCAAAAACCAGATACAATTTTAAGTTATTTAAAGAGTTGGTATCCATTGACCTTCAAAAATCAAGGTAAGCACAAATTTAAGAAGTTATCGTTTGTCCTCTCTTTATTTGTAAATATATATATATATTAAGTGTTTTTGACAGTATATCGTTTACTTTTTAAACTGTCAAGTAAGTTTTTCTTCTTAACAGGAATATTTCTAGAAGTTTTTTATTATTTTATATGCATAGGAAGTGCAATAAAACTTAACCATGTTTACTAGATAGATAGTTAACTAAAGTAACATGTATATATAATATTTAGAAAGTGCTATAAAACTTAACCATGTTTACTAGATAGATAGTTAACTAAAATAACATGTATATATAATATTTAGAAAGTGCTATAAAATGTAACCATGTTTACTAGATAGATAGATAACTAAAATAACATATATATATATAATATTTAGAAAGTGCTATAAAATGTAACCATGTTTACTCTTTTAGCATTTGAAACTTAAAACGTTGTATCAGTTTGAGCAAACTTAAATATAGCTTATCTGTAAACAGTCTTGCTTTGGGTTAATATTGTCTTATTAAACCTAATCCTGTTAATTAAAACATAAAACGTACGAAATTTTCCAGATTTAATAAATTAGATTAATTTCTGTCTGCCCATGACATAACTTTTCGATTTGAATGATAAATTGTGTAAATCGTGCTTTGGTATTTATAAGATATACATATCTTCATATATTAAGTCATTTTGCATTAGATTTTCGGTCCTCATCATTTTATAAAAATAAATACAATAAAGAAACACTGTCCTTAAAACAGAAACTAAGAGAAATGAATAAACTATAGGTCAATAAATGTGTAATGACAAAATTAATTAACTTGTAAATGAATCAAATTGTGATTCTACTTTTTATCTGTACTATATTTTCATATTTCTCAAAATTCGTTAGCGCTACGATTCTGAATGGATTACTTTTATATGCTGTCCTGATTTTAATATAGTTATTAGGCCTAATTAACGCGATATTTTGTGCTAAAAGTGGTTCCAAGCACTTTGGTACTAGTTATTATGTTAGACCACACATATATAAATCAACTTCCCCTAAATGCGTTTGTGCCTAGTGAATAAACTACACACACAGCTAACCAATTAAGAAATACGATATTTAATAACCATGTAGTGTACTAATATTTTTATTTATTAATTACAATGTTTTAAAATTTAACTAGGTAGCACTGTATGAACAAAACTTGTTGAAGAATTAGTTATTATTCGATATTTTAATTAGTTAGGGTTGTTACACAATTATATTCTTTATGAAAAAAAAATGCATAAGTTAAATGTGAAACAAGAATTACTTTCATACAACAAAAGAATTTAGACCTTCAACACTATAATTATTTTTATGTATTATTTTTAGCAGAGTATTGCTTCTTAACCGCAAGCATCAGCTTCTAGGTGGAAACCATATTAGTTCTATCTGAAGACGTGATAAACTTGCCAACACTGAGCCATCCATCTACCAAGTCTCAGGTCATCAAGGTGGCGCAGTGGACAGCCTGTTTCCGCTCAGCTCTTTCACTTTTCCTCGAGGGGCAATCCAGCCGTTAAGATTAGCTTTTAGAATTTTTTTTTCTGATTTTGTACGAATGCGTTTCCATATGCCAAAAAAATCACATTTTCTCTTCTTAAAACAACGATTACACCCCATGTAAATATTACAACGCAATTCAGAATTAAATTCTTTTACGTGCTGTAATTTCTTTCCTATTCTAGTTGTGGGAAGGCTTTTAAAGGTAAATTATAAAAAATTAAAATAAAAAAAAATACTTCCAGTAATTTAAGCGGGTGAAACGTATCAATGCGTGAAAGAAACACCAGTATCTTTACAAATTTTGCATGGTCTACGAATATAACGCTTGAAATGATATATTACTCTTTATCTTAAGATTTCCACTTATCCTCTTCTAGCCAGAGCAACAGATTTTGAACTGCTAGCTCTGTTGTTTATCGCCATCTTTAGAATATCCTCCGTTCTTCTGGTAAACACGGAGATGCATCTAGACTTCGTTGATTGTACACCAACTCTTAGCTCATTCGAGTGTTATGCAGTTTGAAAATTAAAACACTGGTTTTTTTTCATCTTCACTCTTCTACAATGTGTAAGATACTGCCCGCTTTTCAGATGGAAGTATATTAAAGGGACAGAACGGATCATCTGCCAAAGCCATTTTGTGGCCCTGTAAGTGCTCTTACTTCTCACAAGTTAATCAAAATAATGTGAATCTTTCATGGTTTATTCTGCTGGGCGGGGTCACAAAGATACAACTTGGAATGGAAAGTTAGTCTGCTTTGTTGTTTAGAGAACAGATAGGGCAATTTTAATAATCCCTTCATTAAAAAAAACTATTAACAAAAAAAAAAGAAAGAATGGTAGTTAATCCAGTTAAGGCATGCGACAGAGCCCAAAGTAGATATACTTATATCTATCTTTATCTATGCACATTAGAAAGAACATGGTGCTCCGAAAGCCTGGAACGTTATTGTTGTTGTTGTTAGATCATAAAATACTCATTCCAAAACTTAAAGAACAGCAAAGGGGGGAAGGTGCATCTGGCGAAAGGACATGGTTGGCGCTGTTGCTCTCATTACATGTTGGTTCTCCAGCTGACCATTGTCCTGCCTAAGTTGTTTATTTACTTATTACCTCGTACCTTTCCTTGCTATTGTATATTATGTGATATTATTATTATTATTATGATGTTGCTAAGCTGTTTCTGTACAAAGCCCACTCTTTTTTATTCTACTACAAAACAATCTTTCTATACACGTTTTAAAAATATATTTACTGTGAGTTTATAGTTATCAGATAGCAACGAAGTAATTCAGCGACCGTCCAGGTACAGTTTCCCTCCTAGCTGGTCGACAAGAGACTGGTGACCACTCTGTAACATATCGGACGAATGGAGACTGTTTCCTTACTTGCACCAAGTCAGAATTTAATTTCCTTCAGGATTGTAGATATCGCGCTCAAATAAAGCTATCTTTCATTTTACCAGATATTGTTATCTGTGGTTTTCATTCAATTTCATATTTACAATCAATACAGTTGGTCATCACATTTTATTAGGCACTTTTTAAACAAACCGCACATTTTTAGAAAATATAATAATGTAAAGAAATTAAACCTTGGTCTTATAAACTATGGTATATTTCCATTTATTTGATAATTTTATTCCAAATTCGTGTTTTTACCCTGAAAAGGAGCATCATAAGAAAATGTTTAGTTATTGATACAATTCCTGAATGGAGCACCAGAGAATAAACGTTATGAAAAAAATCTCTATCACAGTACTGAAGTCTGAAACTTGGTGACAAACGAAAACTCAATTTATCACCCATTCATTTTGAGTTACATTTTGTTTTTGTGTTATAAACATTTATGTTTTATATTCAAGTATTCTCCGATAAAGAAGCATAAGACATATTTTGTATATTGTATTATTTTTGAAAATTTTATATAGATATAAGAAAAAAAAAATTCTGTACAATACGCAATAATTTCTAAATACTCCCCCACCCCCACACACAGGTGACAAAAACTTAATCTGATGATACAATTTAGCAAGCTGACGTATAAATAGCAAATGAAACATGATTGGCTGTGGGTATGTTTAACTTTTGCAAAGCAGATATTTAAAGAAATTGAATCTTCCTACCTCTTTATCTTTAGTTTTGGTCCTCTGCGACTCAGCGGTAAATCTTGAGGATAAGGTTAGCCCTCCCGTGGAACATCGGTAAGTCTTCGGATTTACAACGCTAAAATCAAGAGTTCTATTCTCCTTAAAATATTGGGTATCAACAAGTTAACTAAAATAATAGCGGAAATTTAATATGAAAAACAGAATGCACTACCCTTATTTATTTAAATGGCTATTAACAAAACTTCTCTTAAAAACCAAAAAATACTTTGTTTTCTGACTGTGCCCCCGCCTTACCGCTATAGCAGCGTGATGTCCCTAGGCTTCAATACTCACGGTGAGCAAAGCACATATACCCAATTATCTAACTTCGTGTTTTAAAATAAACAAACCATATTATTCTAAACCTCAAAACATGCACATGTCATTTGATAATGTTTTCAAAAAAGAGATTAAAGATGCTGTTACGTATCTGCTTGTTTGTTAATTTCCGGTAGAAATTCTTTCCGAAGAACTTCAGCGATACAAGTCCTTTCTTGATAAAAATCAGTTTATTCTTCCTCGATACAAACTTTTAGTACACAGTAATTCCACAGTCAGTACGTTTCTCGTCACTTTAAACTTAACAACTTTAATAATACACAGCGATTCACAATCTCGATAACCTCTCTCTACGAGTGCAAAACAGACACTAGCTCAAAACAGAATAGTAAATTACCCGAAACTTACCGTAACTACTGTTCGATTTATCACACATTCAATCCCGCTAGCTTTTCTCGCCAGGCTTATATACTAACAAAGAAGCTTCTCCAAAATTCGCGGGGTTCACCGATAATTCGAGAAATTCAGTCACGCATGCGCCAGCAGCGTCACGTAACTTCCGCTGTCATAACAATACCTTTATCCCTTTAAGTGGTCTAATGTACTTTACTACACCGAGTTCTAAGCTTCTCAAATTTGCTGAATTTCGTTAACACTTATTTGTACTAACGCAAATATAAGAGTTCGTGACAATTTGAACTTGACAAATACTAGAAAACTAAGCTGATATAACCACTGAAGTATCTGTTTTTTAGCCGTGGCTCGTAGAAAAGCTCAGAGATTTGTTTTTCAAATACAAACCTTTAGCTCGTAGCTCCGTCATCTCTTGAGATATAATTACAGTTTTGGACTCAGGAGGTCAAGCCCTTTCAATTGGTGTATTTGATCACGCCCAAGGTCTCGTAGATTAATTTATTCTAATACTGCCTAAAAGAATTTCAATTTGAGGGTAGGCTGGTAAAAAATATTGATGAGTAATAAAATGGAATCGGGTATACGCGCACTCCGCTTGGTATTGGATATACAAGTGTGTGGACCAAATTTTGGGCCACCCTGTATTTACGTAATAAAAACAGTGTGCTATGAGTGATAAAACCCATCAACTCATCTTTAATCATTACGAAATGACATTCCAGTATATTCAGTTTATGGTGAATATAAACTGGTGCTATGATACGCCAATATTTATTTGTTAAATTCCTATTGTAAAAGCCACTACGAATGATTTCCATTTTTATTAGCATATGAGTGACCAAAGACAAGAGTTTGGTAAACAAGGTTACAAAACAGTCCTAACTTATTCTTTAGTGAGTTTTCAGAACAATTTAAACCCTTACATTACTGTCATTTATTTTTTTACCCGATCGTGGCCTAGTGAATCTAACACGCTTCGAATTTCAGCTATGGAAGTGTTAGAAGAGCGATAGTGAATCCCACTTTAGGCGGTAGGTACTGCCGACTACTTGCCTTTACTCTGATCCGCAATTCAATACGTCTGAACCACGTGGATTTTCGAACCGGCCAATGAGCTCATTAAGTGCATATGGTGTCATTCACATGAACAAATAGTTTTTTTAATATAAAATCCTATTGTTCAGAAAAACAAAAAATCTTGCTTAGCACTATTTCACAGCTAATAACACTATATATATATATAAATTAAATTCTACTAAAGAAGACATTTCCCTTTTTATACCATGACACACCGAGACAAGTAATTATATTAGAAAATGTTAAATATATGTCGATCTATAAGGTACTATATATGAACGTTAACAGCTTGGTGCCGGGAACTGCAAAACGTGCTATGATGAAAAATCTTTCCAATAAAAATCGGTTTATCAACATCATACAGGTTTTTTTTTTAAGTGATCATTCTTAAAAGCCTAACTTATAATGCATTTACCATGTAACCAAGATGTAAAACTCACGCTTTAGGCTTCTTATACTTAAAAGTAAAATTAATGTATACGTCGTATAGTTGTCTACTGAAAGCACGTTACTAAGTATCATTATCAACCGTACTTCAGCGTCCTCTAGTTATTAACAACGCTTTTATAAGCAGTGTCAATAAAACAAATTAAAAACAAAAATTATGACAAGCGCCCACGATCCTCATTCACGTTAATAAACTTACAAATAACGACAACCGTAAATCATTTTATTTGGGTTTAATTCAAACAGGTGTACCAATGTTATTTCTGTTTCATACATAAAACATTTTAATTTCTTATTAAGGAAATCGTCCATAGAAAATCGCATTTAATAAAATAATCCCATGACGTATTGAGATCAAAACGTAAAATTAGATATACCAATTACAAAAATAACGATAACTTAAATTTACAGCAAATTTAGTTTGAATCACAATGTAAGAAAGACATGTAGTATCATTTCTTATATATATTTTTAAAGCAAAGAATAACACGAAGTTAAACAAAATTATTTAAATTAGTATTTTCCAAATATTAATTTTAAAGCAAATTTATTTTTCCAGCATGTTTTCCCATCTGTCTAGTAACGCAACAGCCATCGTTTGGTGGTTGAACTAGCAGGAAACATGATGAGCTTATAGCTACACTTGTGTATTTCTGGCTTGTGAATAATGTTTCATTATTCTTCATCAACTGCTCCACGTACTTTAGATGTTTCTATAGATTAAAATGCGTTGATGAAAAGTTATCTTTCTCTCTCTCCAAGTTTAGGATTTTAATTTTTTTATCTCTTTGCATTGTTTGCCTTTTTGTTTTCTTAAATATTTACTAGGTATTTTTTTTCTTCACATATTATGATGGTATGTTTTAGATATTTGGAAAAATAACAATCTTTGCAATCACATCAAATTGAATCTTTCTAAAGATATGTTACACAAAAATAAGTTACTGCTCAAAGGATTAAGATGCATATTTGGTAACTTAATATTTCAATTTATCATCAACCTGAAAAGTAAAAATTTCAATAAAGTCTTTACAAACGATTAATATATTTTCAATTATCTTTAAGATGATTTAACTTTGATACACTTACTATTCACTTATTCCATATAAATGTATAAGAATATGATGTGTACATAATGAAGAAAGGTATATAACCATAACTGATACAAATTACTGTACCAAATACCTATATTGTGAAATTACCTAGATTCTTGTGCCATTGACAGAGTAAGTTGTCATGACATTGATGATAGAGTACCAAGACACCAGTTTTTAGCATTCTTTGGCGAAGCATGCTTTGCTACTTTTTAAGCAGTCTCTGACACTATTGTTCAACAAAGCTTATATACATTTTAATATAAATTTAAAGACTGTTACAGAACCATATTTAAAAATTCTAGACCTAATACAGCCAAATGGAAAAGTGAAAATACAACCATGCCTTGATATTTTAACACAAATATTATTTTAGGCTAATAAAATCAAATACATTACTACAGTAAAATTAACTTTTTCAAAGTCAATTGTAGCATTCAGTCTAGTGCTGTACATGACTATCCAAAATGAAAACATGTCCAAAATAATGTAAGTATAATGTATGTCTTTCAGATAAGAAAATCAACTGTGACTGCCATTAAACATACAGACTCTGTTTAACGTGAGAATTTCTAAATTGTTTTTAATCACTTAATTTCTCAAGATTCAGATTCAAAAGCTTAATCATATACTGTTGTTTATTAGTGCCAAAAATGGCAACATAGGTATATACATCATTATAAACAGAGACAGAACTTTCTTGGTCACTGAAGTTTGGAAGAAATTGGTGCCTTCTTCTACTCCACTGCTGTAACATAGGTCTTCAGATCTGGATGCATTTGCAATGAGTTTATACTCTCTGGATTCAGCTGCTTCTCCCAAGTGTCTTTTCATCTTTTGTCTAACAAGATCTATGGATTGTTATCAGATGACAGCAATTTTTCATGAAAAGGTTTTTCTTAATATTCAAATAATGTAAGAAATATATTGTTTTAACTTTCAAAGCATATCTAATTTGGGGAATTTTAAAAATAGCCTCAAACTCTCATATTTTGTTACTTACTATGACAATCTTTCATTTGTAGCCAATTTCAAATTGATTTCTGTTCTATGAGATATACATCTGTGTAATTAAAAAGCAAGAAACAAAGTGTTTAAGAGACCAGTAGGCAAACATAAAAAGTTATACTAAAAATGTTTCATTCATTGTAGTGTTAATAATCATAAAAAAAAACGGAGAGAAGCTACTGTCACAGTAATTGACAACTAAACTATTATCAATTCAATATCTCCTCACTGTCACAGAACCAAAGGATGTTTAAGGTTTGATTAATTTTGTACACAACTACTCAATTAAGCTATTTTTATGTGTATATATATATATACACACACACACACACATATTAAGTATTTTTTGCCTTTAGCTGTAATGAATTGTAGTTTTCCCAATGATACTTTTAGATCACAAAAGACAATTGCAATGAATATGTAATCAGAACATTTCCTAGTATGTGTACTGCACATACAATAACATTTATAAGTAATTAATGTTTCCTTCCAAATGAGAAGAAAGACTGTGTTTCATGTGCTTTCTAACTAATAGTAATTTCAGTTTTCTTTACAGTTAGTTTTATCAAATCTTTTAAGTTAATATTGGTTAAAATATATGAAAGATATTTTGCATTGATTGCTTATGTTTGGATTTAGAACCAACCTAAATTTTCTAAATTAGCTGAATTGAATGAGATGTTAGTGGAATTATAACCTAAAATATGATATAATGATTCAGTCTATTCTGTGTGAAGTAATATACATCTTGCTCTTAGAAATTCTTTTGTCAATAACTATTTATATTTTACAAGCAACAATTTAAAATAGCCTACAAAGAAATATTATTTCACAAATATTCTTGGTAATATCCATGTAAAAATCCACTACTAGCCAGCATGTTTTAATATTTTTTTTATTATCTATTTAACATTTGAAAAAAAAAAACTGAATGATTTAACACAACAATGAAACAATAGTACTTAATCAAAAATACATTTGTTATATAAATATATCACAAGTACATTTTTGTATGAAATTAATATTATAGAAAAAAATCTACTTATAAAAAAAATATTTTATTGGTAAAGTGTAGTTTTAATAGATAATTCTATATATTATACCATTAAGTTACTTTCTCCTGATTGTGACAAGAGACATTAACCCATCCACTCCTTTATTACCCCCATTCTAACTCCTATCTCAATCTGAGAATTATTACATGTAATGTGATAACCCACTCTTTTGTTAGAGTCTTTGTATCACTCACTGAAAGTCACTTAGTATTATGTTCTTTTTACTGTCTTACATAGTAACATTTCTCTAACAATCAGGCTGTGGAGATAGGAGGGACTGATATAGCAGAACTACAATTTACTGCTAAAATATAGATATCAAATACAATTATATATTTTTAATATAACCTTTAGCTAGAATATTGACACAGGTGCAATAGCTATTTAACTCTTTTCAGCCCAGTAACTGGAGTTTTTGTTGGTTTTTTGGAAGCATACATGACAACATTAAGTTTCAAAAATTCTGTGAAATCATCTACAAAATAAAACTTGAACTTAAAGTTCAGATTTAACATTTTCTTTCTATGTAAATTTTATGAACTTATATCTTGAATCAAATAGCAACAATAAATAAAATACAAACAGCTAACCCTAAGTTTTGATGTTGTGCCTCCTTTTGTAATTTTTATTTAGGAGCAGAAATATTTAAACCTCCCATATGCATAGATAAAATTTGTCAAGGTGTAAAACATAGTTGCGAACCTTGTTCCCTGTTATTGTCTGTTCCTTATTTATAGCTTGAATAGTTTTAAAATTGTGATTATTTGAAGTTGGTTGTGTCAAAAACTGTAAAATTCAACTGACTGCACTTTTTGTTTTAGAACTTCCAAAGCTAACAAGATCAAATATATTATATAAGAGCTGGTATTACTTTCTGTCTTTAAATCTATTTGCCATAAAGCTCCCTTTCTTCTTTATATGGATTTTAAATTTCTATGCCTTTCAATTATTGCATCATAAACCTTACATCGATCACAATTTCACATCATACATCTACCTCATGACTTGGGTGTTCTTGCATGCTATGTAAAGGAGAAAAATGTTAATTTTATTGGTTTCCCCTGTTCATTTTTTTAAGGTAATTACTTTGTCAGTTGCTTTTTGTCTTACAAAAATTCCCACTGGTAATTTGAAAGTAGTATTAGGATGGACTTTGCCTCTGAATGATCGAAGAAATTATCAGGATTCCTTTTTGAAACAGCTGTACTCAATTTTTAAATTGAATTCAGAGGCAACTTTAACACGCACACAATATAGTAAGATAATCACTAAACACACACATACAAAAGATATAGTGAGATACTTACTATCTGTTAGCTTTAACAAAATAAAAGGTATTTTACGACAAAATTTTTTCCAACAAAAGGGCTAGAATATGAAATCATTACTTAGGTTAGTGCTTGTATTTTTGTAATGAAAAAGATAGAAAAGTTGAATAAATATTTTATGGGGAAATTATTATTCTGTGAAATGAAAAAGATTATAAAAAAAGAGAAATTCCAGTGAATTTTGCATTACAGACTTTGTGTAATTTATAGAACAAACAAATGTGAAACCTGGCTTTCAACACAATGGTACTGTATAAAACTATTATCATGTAAATTTGTAAAATGACCAGTTTTAGTCATCTAATAAATAAAGAAACAATAAACTGGAATACTGAAAAAAATATGGACAGAAATCCTGAATAAATTTTATATGAGCAAAACAATCGGCAAAACACTTTGCTCTTGCACAAACACGTCCTATAGGTAAATGAGACGTCACAAAAGAAAGAAGCAAGATAGAACCTTCAAAATATAAATAGTGGTATAGCTACTCACTTGGCTAAAGGAAAAGCAGCATACTATTAATATCAACAGCACAAATATCCATGGAGATTTTAAAAAAAGATCGAGACTGAGAGAAACAGAATCTTAATGACACTATTCATTTGCCATGATAGCCTAATCCAGAAGCTAAGATAGCTACAGCATGGCCTAGAAATAAAATAAAATCCTCCTCACAATAAAAAAACTTCATCTCTGCCAGGTGTGAACCAGTGCAACAAACTATAGAAACACTAAGAGTGCTAAATCCTAATAAGAACAGCACAGAAGACGAGATAGAATCAAACTGTTACACCACAGGTCAGGAAGAACATAAAAATAATTTCATTGCCAGTTGTTGTGTCCACTGCTTAAAATTGAAAAGCCTGATCCATCTATGAGTAATACAACAAAATATAATAATAAGAAGAAGAATAACCACAATAACAAACCATAACTTCTGAATAGTCTAACACAGACTGCCATCCAAAAGAGTTTAGTATAATTTGACTATGATTAAAGTACCCAAAGCCTGATCTATCAGAGGACAACAGGCATAACAAAACTGAAGACAGAACAGAAAAAGAAACTAAATTCAATTCTATACTAGTTCCATAACTTTTCTTATAGCATCCCCAACTTGGTATTTAAGCACCTTTTAACACCTAAAAATGCAACCAGCAGATGGTTTTCTGTGTCCCACATGAGTATAAAGACAAATTATTCAGTCTTTGATGTTTCAAGCTATATTTGGACAGATCCAAGTCTAACATAAGAACTTTAAAATACTGGTCTTATTCAATAAAATGATGTAGAGAAAGACCACCAACAATAGAAATTGTCAAGCTCAATCTTGAATTTGGTTTGGAAATTCTCACAAGGGCTATATAAGTACAGACAAAACCTCTTTTTTTTTCCATATAGTTATTTACAGGGGAAAAATAGCATATTAAGCTTTAAGAACTTAATTCCAACACAATCTTTAACATAATAAATAACTAACAAGACAATCAAAGTGATGGAACAGGTCTTGAAGAAAAGTACTAACAAACTACAAGTCAATCATACTTTGAACTAGGCTAGAAAAGAATTATGAGAAATACAAACAAGAAGTGACACTGAACAGTGACATCCAGTGTAAAATGCTCCTTTTGATAAATCTATATATTCATGAACACCAATAGAGTAGTCTTGAGCAAGTGCTACCAGTTAATAGGAAGAAAATAAATAATATTATCTTAATTGTAAAATTTATAGAATATACAAACCTATAATCTAGACATGAAGAAAGAAGCAAAACAAGAATGTTACAAAACATTCAAAACAAGTAATATCTTGATAACATATCAGTTGAATGTCAAAAAAAAGAGCCTTTAATCTAAACTTTGATGAACAGTCATTTAACTCTGATGAGTCAAACTTGACAAGTACTCCAAACTACAACTCAGCCCTGGAAAATAAATGTGAAAGTGAAGATCACAGTAACAAGAAAGGCTCAATCCCTATTGTAAAATAACAAGAGATACATCAGGAATGTAACAACATACAAATTAAAATAAATATTTATTGGAGCATATGAAAAAAACTTACAAATTACAATTGGTACGAAACAGGTACATTAACTACTAAACCTCAATGTAGAACACATCTTTACAAATGTAATAAATGGTTCTTATTGTGATAAATAAATGGCATCCCGCAAACATTACAAATAATGACTGTAATCTCCAAACATCAAGTCCAAAGACAAAATCAGAAGTAAAAATAATGTAAAGTTGTATAATATAGTCTACTAAATGGGCATGATATTTGTCTAGAGATGCGGAACAAGCATAACAACACGATACCTATGTTGCTGTACATGTTGAAAAATGTCACATAATAATATAAAGATGTAACCCAAACAGAGAAAGAAGAATCTTAATATATTGAAACCAGTACTTGTCACCAAATTCAGGTCTGATCCAGGTAAACAAGAGTGGTAACTCGTAACAGGAGAACCATAAAATCTAATCCCAATAGCAGGTCTGTAAGGACTTTAAACTTATTTTATCACTGGCCCAATATGAAAATACAGTCAAAGAATGCACTAGTATCTCAACTATGTAACAGTGTATATCATTACCTAATAAGGCCATGCTGCTAGATGTTTATTTTATTACCGGCCCAATATAAAAATATAGTCAAAGAATGCACTAGTATCTCAACTATATGTAACAGTGTACATCATTGCCTAATAAGGCCATGCTGCTAGATATCAACCATTCAAAACACCAGATACCTTTTTCAAAGTGGTATTTTCATAATTCTGAAGTAATAACCAATTTCTTAACTCCAACTTTTACAGGCCAATATCTGTACATTTTTAGTTATTTAATATTTTACATATCATAAAATTTTGGTTCCATTTGACAAACTACAACCTAAAGGGATATTCTTCATCACCTGAAAGGCTTAAAAAGAAGAAGAATCCAATTCTTAAGTTATTCATTAAGAAGTGATAAACAGAGTAAAGAACTATCCTAAAATGCCCAACCAAAATACAACACAAGGGTAGAACAAAAAAACAAATAAAATGTTCCATGGAGGTCTTGATGATTTCTATTTCCATATAACAGAAATGCACATGCAATATATTGGATGAAATATGTTAATTCTCTAGTATAACAGTAATCATACTGTTTGGAAACGGAATTGTTTTTCAATTACTCACAGCTTCATTTGTAACAGTTCCAAATAAGTATAATTGACACCAGTCATTGCTCAGAACTCGTAAGTGAAAATTTACACGTATACAATTATGGCTAAACACGTATATCATAAACATTTTTCTTCAATTACTTTCTGACTTACCATACAAAACATTAGTGTCTAAAAGTGACCATGCATAACTTTGGCCTTAACTTTGATGCCTTCAGTATACAACTTTTCAGACTAGTCCCAATCAGAATGGTTTTCTTCTTTCTAAGAAAAAACAATAGAGGATCCTCAATAACTGAGGCACTTGAAATTCTTTTAGCAGGATTAGAGTAAATTAATCTATGAGACCTTTGTTTCCCTTTTCATTAGCTAAATTTTTGTGTGCCAACAATACCAAACATGGGGATCTTATGTACCCGATTTGATTTTATTACTCATCAGAACCTTTACCAGCCTACCCTCAAATTGAAATTCTTTTAGGCAGGATTAGAATAAATTGATCTATGAGACCTTGGGCATGGCCAAACCTCCCGAGTTGAAAACTGTAATTAGATCTCAAATTGGTCAAGAGATGAAAGAGCTGTGAGCTAAAAATTTGTGCTTTAAAAAAAAACAAAAAAAAACTCAAAGCCATTCTGTGAGCCACTCATTCGCAGCTAAAAAAAATGTTTAATCTATACACTCTGCCTCCTTTTACTTAACAGAAAGACGTAGAGTCAGAAAACAAAAATTCAAGAAGTTGAATAATGTTCTTGTTATGCATTGTAAGATTATTTTGAAAGTGAATGTCTGAATCCTTTAACCTAACTTAGCTTTTTCTCTACATATAAAATGTTTTAATCAAATGTTCTAGACAGCTTAATCATTGAAAAAATATGAAAGCAATTTTTTTCCTACAAACTGAAGTTGCAGCAATAACTTCTATAACAAAAAGTCTGTCAACTGCATTTGGTGAAGCCAAACCAAAGTATACTTCTTAAAATACATCAATATTTCTGCACAAGAAATGCCTAATAAATTATTCTATTTTACTTCTTAATGCTTCATAATTTTAATTTGGAATTAATTAATAAAAGCTGCAGAAAATTACATACATTAATTTCAACTTGCATCCAATTATTATGTTTTTAATTCTGCTTTCTATTTATAAGTAAATATTCTTGAAAGAAACAGATTGCAACAAGAAATGAGGTAGTAAAGAAAAGTTGAAGTAATGTTTATACCAAAACAAACACACACACACACTCACTGTGTTTTTGTTCTTTTGTTGTTCTCGGAAATGGATAATACTTGTTAATGCCCAGGGAGGATATTACTCTAATGACACTTTGTGTAAGGATGTCAAAGGCCCCACCTATACGTAGCACAAGTCACAATGAGAAAGAGATATATATATGGATAAAATTTCAGATAACTGGCTAAAATATATAAAATAAATAGAATACAAACTGCAGTGTAAGAATGGTGAATTGTATCCTTAATAGTAACAGAGGTATCTGTATGATGTAAGGCATAACCAGCAGTGAGAAATACACAATTTATCAAATACAACCTCTTTCAAACCTCACATACACATTAATACTAAAACAAAAAATAATAAGCAAATATGGATGCTAAAGCTCACAATATCCAACACCTACCACAAGCATTCATGAACTGTCTGAAGTCAGTTATTGGAAAGAAATTTCTCCTAATGAACTGAAATATAAGCATAAGATTCAAAGAGACATAAATATATGAACATCTTGGCAGTATAGAAGGCAGTATTTTATACATTTTTAGATGTTCTGAACACTTAGAAAAAAAATAAAACTTTGTTGCAGAGCATAAGTAATAAGCATTTTAGAACATAAATAACAGAACATAACTTGCTAAAAAAAATGGTTAGATCTAGAAAATTTTTGTGGTGGCATTTAAACGTGTGTAATCATATGTAACTAAAAATTAAACTTCAGTTGTTTTACTTCAAATGGGTTGAGTGAAATATCTAAATAAATGTTTTTGTCTCTAGCATTCATTTGACATTTAGCACTAAAAAAAAGAAATTCAAAATATTGCAAAACATCTGGAGTCGGCATTTATTTTAATAATTTATTGTACTGACTGATATTTTTCCTTATCCTTAAAACTTTGATTTCTTTTTAATTCATGAAAAGTCCAAGTGGGAATTTAGTAAGAAGAAAATAACCATTTCTCTTTAAAAATAAAAACCAACAAATATCACCCTGAATGTAATTTTAAAACATTATATTTATTAAACACTATAACAACACTTAGTGGTGAAAAACCTATGACTGACAAAGACATTTTTGCAAACCTGTATACAGAAAAACCAAATTGAGTAATTTGTAAAATGTGTTACAACAAATATACTGTATATTTTTCAAATTTTAAATATAAGCTTATGAATAAATAAATCACACTAAAAAAAAGTGTTATAAATACATTTCAAAATTGTTAAACCCAAACTTCACAGAAACCAATATAATGATCACAAATTCTTCTAATCTTTTCCCAAAATTAAAATAAGAATTGCTTCAGCACTACTACAAAGTTCTAAATTTTGAAAGCTACAGTTTTACTTTAGGAAAGTATCAGTACAATTTATATACAAAGATCAACATCACACACTATTAGATTTAAAAAAAAATATGCAGTTCTTCTATTAGACTTTTCTGTGCTAAAGAATGTACGGTTAAGTCTTCACTGGCATTCAAGAAAACATCAAATGAAACTATTAAACAACTATTTCTTTTACACACACACATATATATATATATATATATATATAATATATATATATATATATATTCAAGCCATTGGGAAGACTCACTTTAGCAAGACCACCTTAAATACACAAGTGAATTAAAATAATTAAAGCTTGTCCAGTAGCATGGTAGGTCATATACACACAGGCCATACTATTTCTCTGTGGACAACTAGCCAGATTTTGCCACATACTAAATAAGACACAAGGTTCTATGTGTTTATGTAATTTAAAGTACTATGTTTAATTAATTCAATATATAATTCACTAAGCAGGCCTTACCTTCTGAGATGTTTTTGGGATAAAGGCCAAGAACTCCACAAACAGCAAAGATACCCAACTGATGGCCTATGACTGAGTAGTCATAGAGGTTTTTTGTGGTTTGCTTGGAACTCATAATTAAGATGAATTATCCTTAATCATAATTTTATTTTAAGATGTTTAGCAAGTCATCTGGTAAAAGTTATTGAACAATTAATGCTCTATCAAATACTTTTTGTATCATTGAAACTTTTATTTCTTTGTGATTCACAAAAAAATTAAACAAGAACTCAATAAAAGTAAAGAAATATTTCCCTTAAATAAAATGTAATTTTAAATTGTTTTGTTTTAAGTTATATTTTCAATTTTTGAATCTAAATGTTAGCTAGAGGGTTAATATAAAGTAAATTTGACTAAGATCTAGATGGGTACACTAGTGATAAACATGTCAAAGTCAAGTATTTAATGAGAAGTTATTGAGTATTTAGTGAGAGTTATTGTATCTGTTCTTTTATTTAGTTACATAGCTAGTTAAGCATATGGCTCACAGTTTATATGAAATATAATACTGAAGTCAGCTTACAATTAGTTGTGGAGTTCATATTAACAAGTTTATTTATAAACTCAGATCTACTTAGACCTGTGGCAAATGCTAAGGAAGAAATCATTTGTTATCATTGCATGAATTTCACATCACATTATTTTCACCCAATGATAGCATATGTCACAAAAAGTAGAGTCAGAAGTGGGATTATTTTGGGGAAAATAAAATATAATTTTGACTAAACTTGAATTTCAACTTTTTAAGATGGTAACAACGAGTGTAAAAAGCAAGATCAAAATTGTGCCAGAAATGATGAAATGGTTAAAAGAAATTCAAGAAAATTAAAAGAAGACCAAGAAGAATTTTTTTTTTAATCAAGAGATAAGAAACAGGAATTCAAGAGTAGAGTAAGAAAAAAAATATTTAATATTTAAAGAATAATTAAGAAAAAATATAAATCTGACTGAAGATAATATCTATTACTGTTACTGCAGTGTCATCTGTTAGTGCAGGACCATCATGAACTACTCCAGTTATATCACTACCAAATGCAGTTCCATAATTTAACCAGCCAATTCAACAATATTGTCCAACTTAGAAACCAACAAACTATGATGGAAGGGTACCATGTCTAGCTCAATTTCAGTCGTTTTTGTTTGATGCATGCTGTTGCATGTGAACACATATAGGCAAATTTATTTACACGTAGTATTTGTTAAACGTGTGAAAAGTCATATCAGTCACACATCATATTACAACTTTAAATACTCCTGAGGAAAGTAAAAATTTTATCTACAAAAATGAGTTGAGCAGTATAGTGACAGATCTTTAATTCATTGTGATTGTTTGTGAAGCAAACAGAAACGGTAGCAGCCAAAGGAAATGAAATCAAATTCAAGTGGTTGAAGATTACAAGAAAGAGATTTTTTAATACAAAACATAGGAGGAAGAGGGAAAACGTATATGATCTTTGTGTGGTGTAAAGTCTGTTTCTTCTTTTTTTTATAGTTTGATAAGATCAATAACGTTGGTAATATAATACAAATATATGTAACATTAAAGATTAAATGTATATTTGTTACTTTCCTGTCATAATGTATCACTTTAAGCACCCATGCAATTCAGACACACAAATTCACCATGTACCTATACTTTTTCTCATGAAAAGGCCTGCAATTCAAAATCATTTCTAAATGGAACAGGTGGAATAATGAACAACAAGCTATTCATCTTGCAAACCAGAACAAAGTATCTAAAGCAAAGTTCCAAAACAATATATGGAGAAAAGAAGAGGCCTTAGCCAAATTTGCAAAAGATTTCAAAGGGCCTGCTCCATTGTATAAACCAAAGTTCCTCATGAAAAAGATATATTTGTTGGCATGTGACCAATTTATAGATGGCATAACAGACAAGGATATGAGAATTAGTTTGAAGCAAAGTAGAAGTACATCTTTAAAGGAAGTTCTCCAGTTCATGATAGAACTTGAATCCATTAAAGTTATAAATAAACAAAAAGCATGATCTAGAATTTATGGGATCATCAGATGAAGTAGTACTGAAACTTCAGTGCCTTCTAATAATAGTTTAGAAGAACTGAAAGGATTAGTTAGACAACTAATTACACAGACTGGAGGAAATAACAAAATAATGTGAGTTTCAAGTGTCACTTGAAAGGATATATTGCCAAAAATTGCAGACAAAAGCCTTTAGGAAATAAGAACTCCTCCCAAAAAAGGATACCAGAAAGAGGAAACAGTGTCTACTGACCGATCATAGACTGACTCTGTTTAGAATTAACCAACACCAAAGAACCAGCATAAAGTAAGAGGATTTCTTGGACTGTGCTATCATCATTTTGTAAAATCCTTCTCTGAAACAGTTTGTCCACTTCACAAATTACTGGAAAATCTAAATATGTTTTGTTGGACTGCTGACTGTAAATAAGCATTTAACAAGCTGAAGAAAGAACTGACTACTACTCCTGTATCAGTACACCCAACTCTTGACAATTCACTCATTTTAGATACAGATGCTTGTGATTTTGCAGTAGGAGCATTGTTATCACAAGTACAACATGGAAAAGAACATGTGGCTGTCTACTATAGCTGCAAAAAAGGAGCAATTGTAAGTAATTTTTCTGAATATCTATATAGACAAAAGTTTATATTTTGGACACACTATACAGTAATGAATTGGCTGATGAATTTTTGTAATCCAGAAGGCCAGATAGTGAAATGACTCCAAACTCTTCAGGAATACAACTTTAACATTGTGTGTTGCATTGGATGGAACCACAGAGATTCTGCAACATTATCCTGAAGACCTTGTGTTAATGAAGAGTGTAAACACTGTGAAAAGAGAGAAGCACAATAAAGACAACCATCCTAAAGTACAACAGAGTAGAATCCAAGATGTGGACTCCACAAGTGATGATGAAGAACTAACGTGGTCCGACACTCAACTAACAAATGTTCTGTGATGATACTAATTTTAAACTAATTATACAATGGATGAAGAATAGTGCAGTAAAACCCTCCTGGAACATAGTTGCACCATACAGCCCAAAGACAAATATGTACTGGTCACAGTGGGATTTATTATGCCTACAAGAGGTTTTTTTTGTGTTGGAAGTGGGAATATCAGACAGGCAGTAGCACTGCCTATGTAGTGTTAGCTCTGTTGGTTCATTGAAATTATATTTTAAATATCTCCTCAATTGGTCATCAGAACTTTACAATACTAAACAGTATTTCCTTTTATAACAATATCTATGTAATGACTGAGTCAGAAGTTCTGTGAATGTCTGTATATATCATTACTAAATTTTGAATATTCTCATTCTTCTTTCTTCTGCTTCTTTTTTATTACATAATAACTCAAAGACCAAAACAATGGTGTCAACCAATTTCACTGAGGTAACATAATTTCAAACAGAGTATCCGCTTTTATAAGTATTATTAATAACAAGTAGTAATTAAAGAAAATCATAATTCTAGTGTAAACAGTGTTATCATTACCCCTTGAAGTTAGCTTTCTTACTGAAGTTTGGTATTCCTTTAAAAACCTTAAGTATAGGCTGAAACAGGAATTAACAATCAATAAGAGATAAGCAATAAATATTACAGTTGGAACCTCATTGTATTTATAACTTGATTATAAATACAACCTTTGTCTATTGAAACACTGCATTAACAAAAATAACCAAACAAGTAAAAAAAAAAACTTTTCAAAAAGTAAGTAAATGTATGAATGGCCAATATCAATCCTTCAAAAACAATGCAAACATAATAGCACAGGCAAAAATTAACATATAGCAATACATATAACTATTCAATCACAACTGACTTTAAATTATCCTATTTTTGTCTGTTAACATTATACTACACTGTGTGCCTGTGCTATTATGTAGGGATGATACAAATACCATTCCTACTACATTGTTTGCATCATTTTTGAAGGATTGGTATTAGCCATCCCTACATTCACATTTATTTGTTGCTTGTACCAGTGGACAGTACCAGCTACCATTTGTATTTCCATAACCTTCCAACAGCTAGATACTCAGGTGTTAAAAATACATTAGAGAGAGTAAAAAAGCATTTCTATTAGATTGGGGGTTTGGGATCTGTAGAACATTGGTATAAACCCTGTGAACTATGCTGTGAGCATAAAGGTACATGATAGAAGCAGCATCAGCAACAAAAGCAGTACTATGTTTGAGCATCATTAGAAAGAGATGCTGCCAATGTGCTTGGTCCTCTTCCAAAGAGTAACAGTTGGAATAAATACATCATAGTTGCAATGAAGTATTTCAT